GTCTAGGCTCCTGCCCTGGAGGGCTCCACCTGCTGGCATCTGAGGTAGCTGTTTCCTGGGTTCCAAACTATCACCTGCCCCTATTCCTATAGCTTAAAATCTCTGATTTTGTAAGTGTCCCATTTACCCCCATATATAGAAATGCTTAACAAAAATCTATCTTCACGGGACACTCACATCCACATTTCTAACTAGCATTCTGTTCTTTCAATGCAGATGCCCTACAGTTGCCAAATTCCTAGGAATAAATTTATATGTCACTTATGGACCTTTCCTTCCTTATGTCTACATGAACAGAAAAAGAGCAAACTCTTTTACAAACACTAGCCCCACCCTGAGTCCAAGCCCTCTGAGGTGCAGAAACTCCCTGCCTCGAGTCCTGGCATTGTCATGCTGTCTGCTCACAGAGTATCACCATCTGTCACCACTGCACTACCCACCAATCCATGTCGCATTGCAGAGCCCGTGCACCACCACCAAGGGTACAGACAGTGGGCAAATAGCAACCAACACCTATGGCTACTTCATCTACCTACAGTAGCAGAATCTCTTGGGAGTTTTTACATTTACAGTCTTCTAGTATTTTGTACCCGTCTGAGCTATCAAATGAATTTGGATTATTTGGAACTAACCATATCTTGGAATAAAACCTCTGAGAGAAAAGAAGTTCAAATGTATTTTGCTGGCTATATATTACTATAGTAAAACCTGGGATAACCCAACGCTTTAAGAAATAGGTTTTTCATCCACAGTCACTGAAAATGTTCCTAAAATGTACAGTTCACTTTCCATACCAGTAAAAGAGATGAAGATTAATGCAAACTTGTGATTCCATCATATGCACATTACAAAAGCAAACCACTTAAAAACTGTAACGCCCAACCAATTGTAATCATACTTTTGAAGATTTTATTGTAAGTAAAATGAAAAGACTATATAAAAAACTGAAAAATGTTCATAAACTATTGAGCAAAAGAAACAGAACATATTTTTTAATCCCTACATTCATCGAGATTAAAACATGTAACATCCGGTGTCATCGTTCTATGTCTTCCTCCAGTTTGCAGAGCTGAGGCCAGGAGAGATGCTGCCGTTGCCATGAGCATATGGAGCACAGCCGGCCCTCCTTATCTCCTGCTGAGGGTAGGGCTGCAGCGAAGGAGATGTGATCTTACCATGGTGCACACATACACGTGGAAATGCCTGCTCATAATAAAAATTACATGCCCATAGGGTTTTAATGGACATCCTCACATATCCAAATGGCAGACCTACATCTAGAAGATACATTTCTAGGTTAGGACAATGGGTATGTGAATTTGGCACTGCCCAATTGCCCTCCAAAAAGATTATGGACAGTCCCCGACTTACAATGGCTCGACTTACATTTTTTTTTTTTTCCATAAAAGATGACTCATAAAGGGATCTCAACCCTTGACTTGGTGTTGTCAGCACCAGGCTCTCCCAAGTGAGAGAACCGGCCATCCCTATATAGGGATCTGAACCCGCGGCCTTGGTGTTAGCGCCACAGTCTCCCAAGTGAGCCATGGGCTGGCCCTTCAACTCAACGATTTTTTAACTTCAGGATGGTGTCAAAGCAGTAAGTACACAATAGAAGCCATGCCTCGAGTCCCCATACAACCGTTCTGTTTTTCACTTTTAGTACAATAGTCAATAAATTGCATGAGATATTCCACACTTTATCATAAAATAGGCTTTGTGCTGAATGATTTTGCCCAACTCCAGGCTTATGTAAGTGTTCTGAATACATTTAAGGCAGGCTAGGCTAAGCTATGATGTTCAGTAGGTTAAGTGTATTAAATGCACTTTCCACTTAGGATATTTTCAAGTTACAATGGGTTCATGGGAACATAACCCCATGGTAAGTCGAGGAGCATCTGTATATCAGATGACACTCCCAGCCCTTTACTATCCATCTCCCCCGTCACAAATGCACTTTCCTCGCCCTCCTAGACTCCCATGGCTAATGTTTAATCCTTCCCTTGCACACACCCTTATGTCCCTTGCCTCTTCATGGCATTCATCTGGCAAAAGTTCAGCCTTTGTTAAGCTCAACTCTGCACCTACTCCAAGCCTGTGCCCAAGTAGCTGAACATGGCTGGACAAAACATACAAAATCTTCACTTTAAATGTGTGACCATAAATCTCTAGTGACACTGAGAACTGCCCAGCCAACCAGCCACACTTCCCTAGATCATTGTCTTAGTCTCCAAGATGACCATTTCACTCCTCCTCTCTCCCTTGATCTCCAACACCCACCCATCCCCACTCACTCTCAAATGACCTCACTAAAAAAACAGAAGCAAACAAAAGAGATTTACCGCCTCTTTCCAGCATGAATGTACCAACCTATCTGCATCTATACTTATATATTCTTCCTTCTCTCTTATTACAATGGACATACCATCCCTGCACCCCACTGCCTGCTCGAACCTGTCCTCTCTTGCCTTACAACTATCCCTTTTTTTTTTTCCTTTTTGTCTTTTTTACTGACCGGTAACGGGATCGCAACCCTCGGTGTCGCGCCCGTACCGGGGACTGGCAACGGGATCGCAACCCTCGGTGTTGCGCCTGCACCGCGCCCAGCCAGTGAGCGGGAACCGGTCTCCACATGGGATCCGAACCCTCAGCGGGAGCGCCGCCGCGCTCCCAAGCGGCGCACTCTCCAGTGCGCCACCGGGCCGGCCCAACAACTATCCCTTCTGACAACTCTCAAACTAATATCTCCAGTCTAAACTCCAATCTTATATATCCACCTGCTAACCTGATATCTCTGTTTGGACAACTAATAAGTACCTCGAACCTAACATGCCCCAAAGAGGATTCTTAATTCCCTACCCACTGCCTCATACCCTGTCTTCCCCAGCTCAGTGAATGGTACCACCCTTCAACCTTCAGCTTGAACCAAAATGTCTGGGTCATCCTTGACCATTCCCTTTCCCACATCCAATCAAGTCTTGATTACTCTACCTTCAAAACATATGAGGAATCCTACATTTATCTCCACCTCTACTGCCACCTCCACAATCTCCCATCACCTCTTGCCTAGACAACAGTGTTCTATATAGTTTGCCTGCTTCCACTCTTACCCTCCTACCACCTATTCTCAGCAGAACAGCTACAATGATTTTTTCTTTAGGACATAAGCCAAATAATGTCAACCTTCTGCTTCAAATCCTCCAACAGCTTTCCTTCACAGAATAAAATCCAAACTCCTCACCATGCCAACAAAGCCCCCGTGCTCTGGTCCCTCCCCTCTTCAGCCTCATCTCCCACACCTCTCTTCCCCTCTCTCTGTCCCTTCCAGAACACTGGACTTGTGGCTCTTGCTCAGTCATGCCCATATCACCCGCTTCAGCAATCAGTACCCGCTGTTCTCTCCATCTGGAATGCTCTCCCCTTGGATCCTCACGCTGAGCTCCTTCACATTATTCAGGCTTCAGATGTCCCCTCCCCAGAGTGGCCTTTCCAGACCACTCCATCCTAAATAGCACCACACCACTCCATCACTCTCTATTCCAATATCCTACTTTATTCTCCTTCGTGGCTGTCATCACTAGCTGAAATTATATTATCTATTTGTTTACTGTCTATCTTCCCCACTTAGAATAGTGCCTGGCACAGAGAAGATGCCTAATCAATATTTGCTGAATTAATTAATATTAATTTTATGATAAAAATTAAATTAATTTTTAAAAACTTAACTGCATATATAATTACTACATTGTGAATGAACTATACCTATGGAGAAAGACTAGAAAAGAACAGAAAAAAAATGAAATTAGTTGCAATTGGAACTTCACTTTTTATTTACACCGTCCTATTTTAATGTCATTAAATTGTTATAATAAAAAAAATGGCTTTTCTGTCCCAGGTGAAAGATGAGTGAGGATCTGTCAGTGACAGAGGGCCACTACTCTAAACATTAGTTGTGAGTAAGAGAAAAGCAGCTCCTGATTATCTGGGAGCTGACCTGATACTATTAACTAGGCCTTGATACTCTCCTGTTAAATATAAACATCACCATCAGACAAGACCACTCTGTGACCATGACAGTTTAATACCACACCACTCTCTAATGATATCTGAACACACACAAAACATGAACACTGTCCAATCACAAAATACCAAACATTCTCCTCTCCCAGTTTAATGAGTGACTATTGTTTCTTTTCCAATTTTAGCTTTGGCCCTGCTTTAGTCTGTTCTCCCTCTAGGTAAGACATATTAAAATGTTGAATCATAGAATTACCCATTTCCTGACAGCATCCAATCCAGAGCAAAGCCCCAATTCCTTAAAAACCTTCCAAAATCACTAGTATAATCCAAATCCTGTGATGAGTCTTTCCAACACCATCTTCCTGAGATAACCCATGGTTCCCTATGGTGTGCATTCTCTCTTGCTGTAATCCACCCAACTTGTTCAACTATAGATGTGCTCCTGGTTGTCTCTGGCCGGAGGGCATTAACAGTTGTCATAACATCAGTTGACATTACAGGCCATTGTACATGCAGAAGTCATAGGAGCCTGGCTGGAAAGCTGACCCCAGGATATAATCTCAGTGCTGGTTCTCTGAATACATGCCCTGACATCAGCTGATTTTCTTGTCATCTGCCTCTTTCTTCTAAAAGCTGGGTGAAAGGGAAAAGAAGTCTAGTTAATTAAATGTCTCGGTGAATAATATTACAATTAATCAAGGATGCCCTGCACAGCTTCCCTTCCCTCCCAGTTGTGAAAGTCACCTGAGCGCAAAGTTAGAGCGCTGCTGGAGGACTGACTCATGGGCGGAGCCTGAGGCAACACCACACAAGTACTTTAAGCCACATGTTCAAGCCCAATAAATTAGGCCAGGCTTAAAGAAGTCAAGCTGTACACATGTAAGAATTTTAATAAGCCTGGAAAATGCTACCTAAAGCTTATGCACAAGCTTACTGTACCAATGGGATTCCCTGCCACCAGCCACAGAGTGCTAAGCCCCTGACAAGAGCTGTCGAGCACAGGGGGCAGCAGGGACAGGGAGTCTGTTTGGTCCAGGTTTCCTAAGGAGTTAGGGACTCACAGCAGAAGGCTGGCAGCCAGATGGATGGAGAGAGAACAGAATAGGGCATGCAGCTCAGTAGAGACAACGGCATCTACTAGGAAAACATGTTGAGGGTTTCTTTGGTGAAAACCCGGTCCTCACACACCCTTCTAGAAACTAGCAAACATTATAATCAATGTCTGCATTTATCAAATACCTATTTGTACCCAGAATTGTGTTAAGTACAATAGAGAGTTATTTAAGCCAACATGGTCTCTGACTGGATGCTGACACCTAATATAAATAAAAACAAAAAATCTGTCCAAAGGATTACCAAACTAACTGAACAAACATGAAATAGTCAAAAGCGTTTACCTTACATAAATACAATGGAGTAATAATTGAAGGGTAAGTCATGGGAGATGACTCTCTAAACAGGGTGGGGCCCTACAGGAACAGTTACCTTAAGGGTGAGTCTCCAAGGGGGAGGTCATGTTTTAAGAAAAGCTTCCTGAGCTGGCTACTTGGCTTGGGGAAAATGAGCCAATTAGGGAAGAGGGTGCAGCTTGGGAGATGATTTAGAGACAGAAACACAACTACAGGAAGAAAAGAAAACTTACTAACTGCCCAGGAAAAATAGGGGAAATCAGTCTGGCAGGTGTATGTTTCTCAGCCAATTTTTCTCATGCCTCTTTCTGATAAATATAAAAAGCTCACACCCTTTTTAATGTTATTTAAAATTCCATAAGAAACTAAATATCCTAACCAATACAGAATCAAAGCAACAGTGGATTCAGAATTTGATTTTCTAAATAATATAAACCATCACCTTCCCCTAGAGCTGTGAATCATCCAGTTGGGTGGTAGCAACTGTCAACAAGCATGTACTGTATCACTGAATACTTAAGGAAGGGAGGATTTGGATCTTGGATCTACACGGAACCAGACAACCAGAAGTATCAGAGGGAGTTACAGTCTAAGGTGACAAAAATAGACTGTGGCACTAGCAACAATTTATAATAATTACCTGATTAAAATTTTTGAAGGAGAACTCTTTGTAGATGGCATCTCTCTCACTTAACTCCGACCATCCTGCTGCTTTAAGGTCAAGTATAACTTGGTTCCTCTCCTCTGCTGTCAACCAGTGAGCATCTGTTGACTATGAAGAGAACACATTTCATATCTGAAAATGTAGAGGTTTACTTGAACCCAAATAAACATATAACTCTTTACCTTAAGTAGAGATGTAGCTCCTAAAGTCTCAAGCGCAACAAATTCTAACCAGCTTTCATTCTTTTGCCCTCAAAAGACAGACAAAAGCAAGGTGAGCTCTGTACAAAATAAGCCACCTCCTTGGTATGTTATCTCCCTACCCCTTACTGCTGCCTCAGACTTCACAATTTAGCTTCCCTGGTTTGTTACAGATATGACTGAGACTGACCATTACCTCTGGCCATCCTAGACACTGCAGAATTCCAGAACTGGGGAAACTGAGATAAAAACACCACAAGAAAACCCTACAAGTCCATTGGCAGGACCAGGATTAGAACTCAAGGCTCCAAACTCCTAGTCTACTGCTCTTTGGATGGCCCCACATCATCTCAGTAGCCTTCACTGCCTACTCACATGGGATTTAACTATTTGGGATTAGTATCTCCTTTCACATCTGATGAAAACCAATCCCCAGAGGGGGAAAAAAATGCACATTTACATACGATTTTGTATAATAACTTCTGGGGGCCTACAGACCCCATGAACCACAGGTAAAAAGCCCTTGCTTTACTGGAGTGAGTTTATGAAACACTTTTCTCAGAGCACCAGGAAAGACAAACTCTCTCCACAGTTTGGCAGAGTACTGCCCAATCTAAAGCACTTTCGTGCACTGTCCACCTTGTTCCTACTCATCCTAGTGATGACATTCACAAATTCAGGTTGTTGGGTAACAGGCCCACACTTCCCATGCTGTCTGTTTTTTAAATGAAAGAACTCTAAACATTGTCGCCAGAGAGGATACTGTACTAGAAGTCAGTTGGGTAACAGGCCCACACTTCCCATGCTGTTTTTTAAATGAAAGAACTCTAAACATTGTCGCCAGAGAGGATACTGTACTAGAAGTCAGAAAAGCTGGGTTCTCATTCCAGCATAAGTGCCAACCAGTACCTCCTGCCTTACCCATTTGTAGGACTACTGTAGGCTCAGGTGAGAGAGAGACTGTTACCCAGAAGGACTGAACTAATGTGGGGGTTCCTCATCAAAGGGCATTTGGGGGCTGCAACTCACTCCCATTTCAGATATCCTAAAATCTTTTATCACTGACATTAATATAATTAAGAGGGCAAAACTCTTTTACCTTTAGACCACTTATTCTATGAAGAAGGAAAAAGGATAATAATGAACCAATTTTCTAGTTTTTCTTCCTTGCCAGGTCAGCTACTCTTCCCCACAACTAACAAAGGGGAAAAATGAGAATACCTCTTAATTAAACAAAAATATTTAAAGGCTTATTATTAAAAATCATTTACTATTAAGAACCAAAAGATCTATTCATGAGTTGTACAATGAAAAATTTCAGTTCTGAAAATTTTCACACGAAGATCTACTATAGGAAATAATCTAAAATTCTTATTAAACACTTAAATATTTCAAGTCAACTCAGAAAATTTCAGAAAAGAAAAAGAATGATCTGTGTGCACACTGAGTGGCCGCAAAGAAAACTATAAAGCATGCTGTAGGTGACGCAGCAGGCCCCTGGAGCCCGTGGAACTCACTGAGCTGTTCCTCTCTGCAAACTCCGCCATCCACATCCCCATTCCCACTGACATCAATGGTAGGCACTCTGTGCTCACCACAGACGTCTGCCCAGCATCAGGGATCATGTTCAGAACTGGAAAGTGGAGCCACTTCATCTACATAACACCAGAGGACGCCATGAGGACACATCCTGAGCAGAACCCTCTGTGGTGGGCTTAATTTTTTTCCCCGGGGTTTGGGGGACAGGGGACGGGGACAAGAAAAAGCATAGGATTTAGAAAGAATAAACCTGATTCAAGGACTAGCTTTGTTAGTTTTAGCTGTGGGATGCTGAACTTGGCTTCTCTGTATTACAGTGTCTTCATGTCTGTAGAGAAGATATTACAATATCTACCTGCCAAGATTTTTTGAAAGGTTTAAAGAGATCTTGAATGTGAAGGTACCCAGCATAGAGCCTGGCACGCGGCAGCCACTCAAATCATGTCTGTTTATTCATTCCTTCCCAGAACATCAGATTTTACTTGATCACCGGCACCCTGGGCAGAGGTATGTATGCCTTGAAACAGGCCTAGGTGACAGCGTTTAACTTGTGTTCTCGCGTTCGTGGCCATTAAGCACAGTGCTTATCTTGTCCCATCATGGAGCTAGTTCAGATTTCTTCTATTAAAGAATTTCAAACCTCCAAATGGGCTCCAATGAGCAACTTAAGTAAATATAATGGTGAGTTAACGCAATATTTCTCCACTAGGTGGTGCTGTATGTTAAAACTCTCCCTCAATTTACTCCAAAATATTAATTTCTAAAGCGGGAAAACTGACTGAACGCCCTTGGAAGAAGAAAGAAAAATCGATGTATCACCAAAAAAGATAATTCATTAACGATTCCTCCAAAACATCAGCACCAGAACGAGTGAATTCGCCACTGAGTAAAGCGCTGAGCGCGACCCGCCGTGACAGCGACGGGCCCTGCTCTCACCGAGCGCACGACTTCGGTCACTAAGCACACCGAGTGGCCGCACACACTTTTACACCTACTTTTCAGATTTACTATTTTTTAACAAAACTCGTTCTTGTGTGTTTCCGGTTAGCAAGTCTGTAGGCTATGGCGCAGTTTTTAAGCCAAGGGAAAAGTGGCAAATGCAGAAGACAGCCCTGTCTCCGGCCGGCGCGTCAGGCAGGTGCCGGGTCCCCGAACGCGGCGACCCAACGTCCGAGCCCGAAGACCAGGCCCACTTCGGGGCTGCCCCGGCCCCTCCCGCCCTTCAGCCGACGCCATGGGGCCTCGTACGCCTCCCGCACCCGCTGCAGCTCGGCACTCACCATGGCCGCGAGGCTCAGGCTCCGACCCTGCAGCACCTCCAACAAGCTCCGCGTCGCCCCCCGCGCCCCGAGCGG